CGCCTTCTTCCTATGAATGAAAAAGTACACAAACTTAAGAGGAGAAACTTCAGTTTAGTCAAGTATTTGAAAGAGATACTGTCTGTCACCAACCCAGTCAACATTTTAGCTCTTAGTGAACTGAGTCTTCCGGTTTAATGTTATTATTTTGCCTGAAGGATTCTCACATCACTCACATCTCTACATTCAAATTAAACACACAATGCATTTCTCTAACAAATTAATTGTAGTTTTGTTGTTATACTATTTTACTTCCATTGAGTACAGTAAAAAATTAGTAACTTACATATAAAATAAAGCTTATAATTAAAACTCACCTTAAGTAATTTTTTACATTTAACAAAAATGGTAGGAGACAAAAAAGGAAAAGAGATTGGACACATATCAAGCTTTAACTCTAAAGGAATTATCAAAGACACTTGGAAAGATATCTAAACACTTGTTGGAAACATAATCATTTAAATTTCTTTAAGGCCTTTCATTTTTAATCATGCAAAAAAATATATATATATAATAGGAATCACTAAAATCCTGCCCAAAATCCAATAACCTTGGATGATAAACATTGATCCAAGTTCATAAAGTCTAAAGGTAATTTACAAAACTTAGGGTTATAGAGATCTTGGAAAAAATAAAAGCCTGGCAACACAAGATTTCCCATACAATCTTTGATCACACAACTGGATCTCATGTCTATGTTAAAAAAAAATTTTTTAAACATCATGAAAACTGAACATTCACTTTAAGTGTTTGATGGTTGAAAATTTCTCATATGTTATGTGCTTTTGAGAAAGAGCTATTACATATGGAAAGTGGTCAAGAAAGAGCACAAAGAATACATGTTTCCTATTCCTAGATTCTGCCTATAATAAGCTTTGTGAACGTGGTTTTATCTAATAAAGAATATTTCCAAGTTCTCTTTCTGCTTCAAAATTCAATAATTCTTGGCCTTGAGTAATGGATTTACTTTTCCTGTCGTAATTATGCTACACAGAGAGCCAAAAACAAAATGAAGGGAATAAAAAAAAGCTTTACCATGTTATGAGGCTAAGTTAATCTTGAATTGCCCCTACTAAGCAACTGATTCTACATTTAAAAATGTAAATGAATCACCTTCCTATGATCAGCATTTACCAGAGCTACAAATACCACATAATATCACCATTCAAAATTACCTGAGAATTAAGGTTTAACTAAGGTAAACAACTTAATGAAATTTAATAGCCCTGCTTGACTGATAAACTTTTAATGAATATGTAAGCAACTGACAAGTTTCTTTTTTAAAATGCAGTCATTTGGAAAACAGTACAAGGGGAATGAGAAACAGACTGATGAAAATTTTACTTTAACACAGTCCATGAATCAAAAAGGTAGAATGTAGCTGTCAAATTTCTGATATGACAACCAAGGTAAAAAGCAATCAATCATATAATTAGAAAGAAAAGTTAAGAAAAAGTGAACTTATTTAAATATAACTAAGAAACAAAATATGGTGATGTTTCCTCACAAAACTTTAAAATTTAACAATTTTAACCTAATGTTATCCTGAGCAAGTAAATTGTTATGAAATAAATTACATTTAAAAGAAATCAAAATTCAGTCATCAATATATTGGCAAAAAAAAAATGTTGAAAACAAATATTCTAATAATCATAAATTTTTTCAGTGTTTTTAATTATGGGACTAAACCACTGTTTTCTCTTTAAATATGTATTTCAATTAAGAAAATACCTCACTAGAGAATGTTAGCAGAAACCTAGTATCTTAAATCCCTGATTTCCTCACCAACACTGATTCATTTTGCCAGTGTATGTATAAAATTTTGGGTTCCTAGTACAAAAAAACAAATTTAAGGTATTTAAATTAATAGATACCGTTTCAAATCTGAAGCATCTAAGTTGATATCATTAAGAGAATGTTATTCTCATACTGGCTGCAAAAATGATTACAACTCCTAACTAAAATAATATGGGTGCTTTCCCACTACTGACAGAAAAATACTTACCTTCTTTTTGGGAGTAGAGGATATGCTATTCTTATAAAAATATATGAATAGCTATCATTTAACAAATGTATAAAACACTGTTTGAACCACTTTCAAGAACTCTCTTCCAACACCTAACAATAAACTTATATAAATTTTCCCAAATGCCATGTCTTTGACATGGTACATTTTAGCTGCACTATGTTTCTGAATTCTAAATTAAGCAAAGAATAATTGTAAAATATATTATGATTTTTCAAGTATCGAAAAATCTTAATCTCAACCTACCTTTAAAAGATACTAGACTAAAACATTTAAATCACATCAACTTTCATATTTTTTCCAACCACATACAGTGTCTTGACAAGTTGGGTTTTTTTTTAAACTTTTTCTCATCATGAATCAAAATTACTCTAACTTGGGGAAGTTTCTTTTATTTGTACATATCCCTACCAATTCACAAAATAATTTAAGGTAGAGTATGATAGTTTAGGTGCAATAAAAACTGACAGTTTTGTATTTCTGCTTTGTGTAAAATTTTTAGCAATATTGATAACAATATAGTTTACAAATCACTTCACCCATGTTCAAATCAACCCAAAGAATTTAACAATGCAGTGTTTTAAACTGTGTGCTTTCATAATGATTTTTTTTATTCAACAAAGCACACAAGCATGCACACGCCCACGCACATATATACACACACAAACACACACTCTCTTTCTGCTATAAAACCAATCTCTCTCTTAAAAAATACACTACCACAACTGAATTGTATACTCAAGTGCTAAGAATTACCCTACAGAGGTATGGGAAACTACATATATTTTGCAATGGTAAAAAGAAAACATCTGTATATAAGAGAGGCCCATATCCGATACCAGCAAAAAGAAATTGAAATACTAATAGAGCAAAACTGGCTCCCCATGTACCCGAATCACACACAGACACAAGAAGGCTACAAATCCCATTCATGAAAGAATGCACCACAAACATTAGCATTTATTCATTTTCTTTTTTTTTTTTTTAGCAAATGACAAAGACCCAGTTTACCAGATTTACTTTTTTTTTTTTTGCCTAGGCTTAACATTACATATTTAAACAATTGTCAAAACTTACTAAGTTTTGCAGCATTCATGCACAACTAGAAAACATCCTTAATTTATTTCAAACCAGAAATGTATTACCATTAATGTATTAATACCTTTTACTACTAAATACTTTAAAAAAAACTGAAATTAAAAAAAAAAAAAGATTCATCCTGGAAATGTTAACTTCACAGCAGACTTAAACTACTACTTGGCTCACATTTCAAACAAAATGGAAAAGCAAGATTCATGCTGGTGTTAGTGTACATTTTGCCCTAGCACTACTAAAGGATCACTGTTCACCTTGGATTAATTTTAATAAAAAGCAAAGTGCATACAGAAATTTACAACAATTTTAAAGACAAAAAAAAAATGGTCCTATTAATGTGGTCCCAACAATAAACTCAAAGTCTATGACAAATAGGTGCTTCGATGAGCCGTTTATAAATACTTTAGATTAGGTACAATTATACTGAAAGAGTTCTTTTGAAATCTTCAAAAAAATGTTCCTGTTAATCCTCAAATGGTGCTTGTAATAGCTTAATATTTCTGTTAAATGCGTGCGTTGAACTACTTGTTATCCAAGCGTAGCAGCTGCTCCTTACCATTTATTGTTAAGGACTTTAACTGGCCATCTTCTTCAACTTCTACTCTTTCTTGACCGTTCTCAACAGTTCTGTGGGACAAAATTCATTTAAAAACCTTTTTGGAGTATGTTTATTAAAAGATGTAACTACAACACAAATACATGAAAAAACTAATCCCCATCCTCACATGACTGCATACAATAATATGATGCAACAACTACAGTAAACCAAGCTTTCTGCCATGAAGTTTGCTAGTTATCTTTTCTACCTAAAAAGATTCTTTCCCAAGTATGAATAAACTTTGGCTCAACTAAACCACTTACAGAGATAAACTCCTAGTCAAAAGGGATAAGTAGCTTTAAAAAAGTAATGAAGAAAAATAAACCACAGATTTACCTTTCTAATAGCATAGGAAAAGTTTGATCATTCCACATCAAAATAACTACTTGGGATTCAGATTATAGCAAATCACATCAAGCAGAAATTTAAAAAGGAAAAGGCTTTTAATAATTACGGACTTTTTTCACAAAAACACACAGAAATTCATTGCCAACCAAAGTTTTATGATTTCAGACTTAAGGCAAAACCGAGATTTTTCATTCTGACAATGAACATCTCAACATAGACTGACAATGTCAACAAATCATTAGAGTCATTTAATCCATTAAGATAGTGTTTAAAATACCACTGTACCTCTTTGTAGTGATTTTCCTGCCATTTACTATTTTAGTTGTAGTTGATATGGATCTGAAGTTACCCATCCCACTACCACCAAATGATGTAGAAGAGAATGAAGTAAGGCCTCCATGCCCCACTGAACCAAATGAAGTAAATCCTGTATGAAGAGAAAAGATAGTATTACAAATTTTAAAGTTTCTATTAAATGATATTATAACAACTCGGAGTCAAAATGGCTATTACTTATAAAATTCAATGCTAGTCCAAGTAACATGACCGAAACTAGTCATTTAGCAATACAGCTGCTTTTTGATTATCATAAAACAAAGGATCATACAGAAACCAAGTACTCCAAACCAGAAATCGAGTGTGCAAATGGATCAACTGTGCTAATCATGATCATGTGTCAACAGGATGTAAAGCTAAAAGGAATCTCACAATTTTTTCTTTTACTTGAAACAATAAACATGTATTCCTAAGACCTGGAAAACAAGAGCCACGCCCTTTTCACCAAGGGTCATGTTTTCAGTTATACAAAATGTTTTGAACTTTGACATTTTAATGTGAACATAGCTTGCTCAACTGACAGGTTCAGGGAGCACACTGCTTCCTACTCTGGGCTGTGAACAATTACCGTCAACATCTCTCCTAAAAAGTATCATTTTCCTATTTCTCCCTATGTTTTAACCATAAAAGGACATGAGGGTACATCCTGAGTAACTTTGCCCAAATATTTCAGATGTCTTTGAAACTGACAGAATATATGTCAATTAACTTATGTTTTTTTATACCTTGTATGGTTGTTGTCCTAGTTCTAACTATAAAATTAAAGTCAGAGTATTGTTTCTTCTATTCTTTCTCTGCCCATGATACAATAACAAATTAACAAATTTAGGTTTTTAGAATCTTTCATAATTTTTTCCTTGTACACTTAAATAATTCAAACTACTAAAATGAAAACCATCATCATCTCTTTTCTCCATGATCAGTTTTCTTTATAAGCCTCTACAATTCACTTTGTAGGAGAAAATGCCCAAAATTTTCTTTATTGTATAACAACATAACCTAGACCAAGATATGTCACAAAAAAAGGAAAAAAATTCTCTGGCCTAATCCCAAGAGTAAGTCTGCTCACTATTAATACTGAGCACCAACTGTATAAGGTATACTATGTATCAAACACCGTATCTCAGGGTCTCGGGCAACAACCAAGGAGAGAACAGAAAAATAAACTTTACTCAAGATACAAAAATGTTTTTAAACAAAAGAAAATTTTATATTCCAAACCTAGTACCTTAAAAAGGTTCAAATAGGCAGCAATAAGGCAAAGGAACACAAATTACTGACAGTTCAAAGCCAATCAGATAGATGGATCAAGGTAATCACAGTTTAGGTTGAGAGGCTTGAGATTAATCAGACAACTGAGTAAATTTGGAGGCAAAGTGAAAAATAAGAGACCTTGATTTTTCTTCCTTTAACAGAACTGTAGCAAACAAAAAGACGAGTTTCCTTTTGTCTTGGTGTGGGTCATATAACAATTCTATTCCTCAAGAAAACCAGTCAACCAAATTCTAACATCCCAGAGAATACAAAGATCAAGCTGATCTACCAAAAATAAGAATGACACATAAAATACACTTGTGAATCTTTTCTGAGAGTATTAGTTCCTGTTTATGAGATTGTAAAATACCTGTATCAAATGAAGAAAGCCCACTTCCAAAAGCTGGAAATCCACCAAAGGCAGAGAAAAAGGGTCCCGCACCTCTGCTTCTGTTTCCACGAGTCCCTCTTCGATTTCCAAAAAAGTCCTCAAATGGATCTTCTAGGAACAAATACATATTGTTATTTAAAATCCCATTTAAATTACCTCAGTTATTACAGATGGGTAAGATGAGCTAAATAAGAAATACAAGGCACTTTCAATTTCAACATGGTATTCTTTAACTGCTGGGGAAAAGGTAAGATTAGCAAAGAAAAAAACTTACCTATTAGCCAAAATAGTTATACTTTTAACTGAACCTCTAGAAAGTCATTAGAATATCTTTCCAACCAGCTCCTTTTTCTTACCGAGGGTGAAAATTGGTAAGTTAAAGCTAGAAAGCCATCATGAACAAAAATATTCAAGTTTTCTAAGATAATGAAAATACGTTCCTGATGCCTCTCCTCTTGAAAGGGAACATGATACCTTCGTGGTTAGGCATTAAACTAAATCTGATTATTTTCAAAACTAAGCACTAGCTGAAAATTTCATATGATTAACATTTATATTAAATATATAATGCAATACAAGGTATAGACATGCAAAAGATACCATTATGCTCATACCAAACCCCCAAAAGACAATGTACCTCTTTAATGAGAGCTATAATCACTCAATATCTATCTATAGAAGAAAATCTAAATGGATAAAGAACACCTATTGTTCAATTCTGGGCAAACTGGATGAATGGGTAACCCATTGGATTAGTACATTAGTATATATACTTTTCAACTACTACAAAAGGCAAAATGAGATTGGTTCAGGAAAAAGTAGAATGCAAAAAACACTCCATATTCCATTTGAAAAACTACAGTTCTTTAAAGAACCCTAAATGGCATGCTCATATGTGAAAAAGATAAAGCCACCACAGAACATTTTAAAACATGAATATTCTTCTGTTGAGACTTTATCACTGTGAATCTTAACACCAAAGATTTTAAAGAGCAAAACTGCAAGCAAGTTGACCAAACAGGTTATGGCAGAGGTGGGGAACCTGCAGCCTTGAGATAAATGGTCTATAAAATCTGGATTCGGTCAAAAGGTTGAACTTAAGGAAAGAAGATCACATGTGGCCTCAAGGCGGCAAGTTGCCCATCCCGGGTTATGCTATACTGTCAGCAATGAGTACCACAGAACAAGGTAGCACAAAATATATAATCCGGAAAAACAGTATGACAATAAAAGGTGATGGGCTGGTCATTTACTGAAAGGGTTAAGAGACAAATAGCCCGGGTGCAATCAGTACATAAGAGAATAGTAAAAGACCCAGAAGGCCTCTACTTAATACAGGATTCATAAAAAGGACATGAACAAGACACCTTGGGTTAAAAAAAAAAACCCTGCCCTGAAGAGAATACACAAATCCATTTTATATAAATATATATCACACACATATATAAACATATCTATATAATTTTACATAAAATTATTCAAACAAGAATTGCTAACCACTTATAACTTCTTTAGTTAGGTGGATGTCACTAAAATATCCAAAAACTATTATCAAGATTTACAGTATCTATTGTGCTATAAGAAATGATGATCAAGGTGGTTTCAGAAAAACCTGGAAAAGACTTAAATGAACTGAAAGCAAAGTGAAGTGACCAGAGCCTGAATACTGTACACAGTAACAGAAAAACTATACAATGATCAACTGTGAATGACTCAGCTATTCTCTTATTAGCTATTAGCAACTATTTAGCAATACAGTAATCCAAGACAGTTCTGAAGGACTTATGATGAAAAATGCTATCTACCTCCAGAAAAAGAACAGATGCAGTCTGAATGCAGACTGAAACACTTTTTTTTCACGTGTTTTGTTTTTTTTGGGGGGGGAGACGGGGGAGTCCTGTGTTCTTTCACTACATGGCTAATATGGATATGTTTTCCCATTATTGCACACACATAAGCTATTAAACTGCTTGTCTTCTCAATGAAGGGGAAGGGGAGGGAAAGAATTTGGAACTCAAAAAAATGAATGTTAAATATTGTTTTTTAACATGGAATTGGAAAAAAATAAAATTTACAAATTTTCAAAGAATCTTTTAAAAAAAAGATTTAGATTATCTATTTAATATTTAGCAGTAGGTTCAAGATATTCCTCAATGAAAAGCTATTCACTCAGCATCTATCAAGTTCTCAGCAACATGTATAGTGGAAGATAAAATATGATTCTTTTACCGTGGCTGATGGGCAGACAAAGTATATATGTTGAAAGAACAAGAAATATAAAAGAATAAAAAACATAACACCAAATTCTGTAGTAATGATCTAATTATCAGTTAAAGGAAAGAAGAAAAGGACAGTGGGGACCTCCATGAAAGAAAAGAACCTTAAAAGATGAAGGTACTTAGATATGTAAAGGGGAAAGTAGAGAACAAGTCAAACAGATGTCAAAATTAGTACACTGTACAGTAAGGATTGTATGGATTGCATAATGTATATTGTATCAGTATGCCTAACAGTAAAGTCCGTGGAAGTAGTAGGAATCAAGGTTATATAGGTGAGCTACATCGAATTTACAGAGACCCATAAAGTCAGGTAGAAGAATTAAAAAACAGAAAGTCACTAGTTTCTGAGCAAAAGACTGAAAATGCTCAACAGTGTAACACTAATACTGAAAAAGACCTGTGCAGGATGCTAGCGATAAGAATGAGAAACACAGCAAGAAAGAATCAAAGCATTTGGTGATGAAAATGAAGAGAAGGAATATGGCGAAACCACTACAAAAAAGGATTTGTAACCAGTTATATGAAAAAATGCTATGTTGATTTTGGGCACTTAAGTGGGAATGTCTAGCAAAGAGATATAAAAACATAGGTTAGAAACATATAAAAATAACTCTCAATCCCTTGGGTTAATAAATTTAACTCTTCCTTCAACACCTGGCAAAAGTGATTAGTGAAATCAAGTGACTAGTGAAAGAACCCTAAGAATTGTGGAGAATAAAAGTCTAATTTCATGTTTTTGGATTCTCTTATACAATGACAGAGCAATGATAAGTAACGGTTCTTAACAATTATCACTTAAACTTGTCTTTTTTTAGCTCAAAAGTCATTTAAAAGTTTGCACCTTAAAAAAAAAATAAAAGTTTGCATCTTCTGTATTACTTTTTCTTTACTAATTCCTAGGATATAACTCATTAACACTTTTGACATCAAACAAATTCAAAAACATGCAATAATATCAAATAAAAATACTATTCAAGAAAAGAAAAAAAATCACAATAAAAGATAACTTAAAAATAAATCCAATTAAGAGACAACTTTGACTTTGATAATGAATACATAACAAACAAATGAAATACAAATGTGTTTTAATTAGTTAAGGAGGTTTGACGTAAATGTATTATAAGGATATTATGATAATACTTATATCCATTCCTACAATATGATTCTCTTTAAAAAATAAGGAAAACACATTCTAGGCATATAACAGGAAAACTTCTTTTAAGTTACAAATATACACAACTTTGCATAGTTCTATCAAATTTTTAGCTATTGTAAGGCTTATTTAACTAACAAGAATACTTAAGTCTTCCACTCAAGGCCCTCAATAAAAGTTAACTTCTGGTTTTTCCAGAGGTGGTGGATGGATGAGAAATGAGGAAATAAGATAATATTTTCAGATATGACGAATATGACCAATGTTAAAGTGCTCTCTTATATTAATCAGACAAGCACCGTCCTGTGCATTTGTGAAACAACAGAAATGTGAGATAGTCCCTGCCCTCAAAGGGTTGACATTCTACTGGGGAGATACATGTTTAAAGAAAAAGAAATACAGATAGGCAGGATATATGCAAAATAAGTAACTGTGTAATCAATAGAGAATCTTGAGTTGAATCTTGAAGGGAGGTAGGTAGGTATTCCAAAGGTAGAAATTACCAGGGAAACTATTTCAGGCATGGGGGATAGCCTATTGAAAGCAGTTAGGGCTAGAATTATGGTATTTATCTGGCTGAATGTGATGAGCCTAGAGCCAGACTGTAAAGGGTTTTAAATGTCAAAAAACTGGTATTTTACCCTGAAGACAATGAGAAACCTGGTTTCCTAAACAAGGGCTAATACAGTAAGAATTATCAATTTGGCAACTCAGTGGAAGAAAAAAAGGAGGGAAAGAGTAGATGAAAGGAGACCAATTAGGAGGCTATACTAACTGTCTAGGTAATGAAGGTTCTGGTGCAAGTATAGAAAGGTAAAGGGGTAGGTGCGGCAGGGAGGGGGAAGGAAATAGAGATGCCTGTTATTATGAAGGTTATTATGAAGTTAGGTTATTATGAAGTGAGTTAAGTTTTTAAAAGTATTAAATAAATATTTTTTAAAGAAAATGAATGTATCACTTGTTAGAACTATAAACAACCTTTGAGGTCACCTAGTCTAACTCTTATTTCACAAACGAAGAAAACGTGACACAAAGATAATAGGTTACTATCCAGAGTAACCCACTTTTTAAGTGGTGGAGATAAGTCCTTACACCTAGCATCCTAGTCAATTCTTTTCCCACTAGGTTATACTGCTTCAGTCAAAACATTTAGGAGGTTGGGGAAGAGTTATGCTTGGACAGTTTTGGCAGTACCACTAAGATCAAATCAATAAGCAACTACTTATCCATAAAGCTGGTCCTAGCTCTTTTAAATCATCTGACCATTAATCTCTCAATAATTAATCATTATATTGTTGATCCCAAATCTCTACTCTCTTGTTCATCTCTCCTTTGTCTTAAAACCTCTCAAATGGTATCATAAAAGTGAACAGTTAAACTTAGGGTTTGGACTTTAAGACTTACTCTACAATGAAACCCGCTAAGATAAACCTGATTCTGACTTCCAGATTAAAGTTCACAAAAATATTTGCACAAATAAATTATAGTAAGAAATGAAGAGATATAAAATCTAAGATTAGTACAAGTTTTATGGGAAAAAGAACCTAATCAAAATAACAGTAGTCACCAAATATATCTGGAATAAGGAAATCTAAATTTTCTATTATCTCGCAAACAAAAACAAGAAAAGGCAGTTTTCAGTCTCCACATATCTACATTTTAACATCCTACATTTTATG